AAAGGTGTGCCCAATCTGTCAAAAGGCGTGCCATCAAAAGGCGTGCCCGATGCATCAAAAGGCGTGCCAGATATGATGGCGAGGCACGTGAGTGCCTTGGCTGGCGTGCCCGTTTGTCTGGCATCAAGAGGCGCGCGATGCGCGTGGCTGCCTCTGTGTCATGGTCGTTATAAACCGAAGCGGAGGAGGCAGAAACTGAGACAGAAAAACTGAGAGAAACCTTTGAAAAATTCTTCGTTTTGCTGAGAAAGAGAGGTCGTTTTGCTGAGATTGCTGAGAGAGATAGTCTGTAACACTCTGTTGTGAGAGATATTCTGTAACACTCTGTTGCCCAGAAAATGGCCTCGTCTTCCCGTGGGCTGCTCACTCTCTTTCCCGATCTCAACGAGTCCACAGGAGAGAGAACTGGTGCGGTGGCCAGTGAACCTCAACCAAATACCACTGGGTTTGCTCCGTTGAACTTTCCGATGCAGTCGGTGGAGCAAAAAATGGCAGTGCAAACGGATGTGGAGGCTAATCAGTATACGTTGAAGGCATGTGTGGAGTCCATGACGGCGGTCACAAACTTGTCGCACCGGCTGCAGAGTAGGACAAATGAGGTGCAGCAATTAAATGCCCAGCTGGCTCTGCTCCAGCGCATGTATAAGGATGCGCGAGCAGAGATAAGTGTGTTAAAGGCGGAGAACAAGGAGTTGAAGCGGAAGGCCACCGTTATGTTCCGATTTGGAGGGCCGCCACATGCTGCAGTGGAGGAGCATGGAGTAGTGATTGGGCCCAGTGGAGTGGGAAACACCGAGGCAACACCGTCAAGGGACGCCCAGGACGGAGGCAAGAAGAAGAGACCGGCGGCAGAGTAGAGAAGAAGGGACGTCGGTGGGTGGCCACAGATCATCATATGCAGATCTGAGATGCTTTGGCGAGATTAGTGAGAGAAAAACCACACTCAACACCATCGCCAGCGTCGGCAGAAGACGGATGAGATCGGCGGTGTTCCTGACAAGAGCCATCGGAAACCGGCGGTGGTGAGCTTGCTGCAGCAATGGTATTAGCCATCTCATCAAAACAAAAGTAAGAGCATGCCAAAGATGGGTTTGGTCTTCTATGTGTGTCGGTTTTGTTTTGTTTTGTTTTGTTTTGTTTTTTTTTTTTGTTAGCTTCAAAAAGATGCCTACACCAAAGCAAGAAGAGGCTGGATTGTTGCTGAAGAAGAGACCAAAGAAGAAACTGCTACCGAGGTGAAACTGCCGACACTAGAGATGGCCGGGTGCGAGGAGGAATCGTTTGAACTCGGGGTCGAGGTCGCGCTCAAGAGTTGCGTTTTTTTGGTGCGAAGATGGTGATGTTGTGGTTGTTTACTGTGGCTTCGAGGGTTGGTAAGAGGAGGGCTTGCTCAACGAGCTTGGCGAGCTCGGTGTAATGGGAGTCGAGGAGGGCGACGAGGACTGAGTTGGAGTTGATGGGGACTGAATTGGGAGTTACTTTACTTCTCTCTCTACAACTTTCAGAAGGAGAGAGAGCTATTATTGGAGGAGCTTCACATGTATTTGAGCCATATTTCTTCTCAGAAAGAGAGAGCTGGGTGAGCTTGGTGAGACAAGGACTGCGACTCGAAGGAGTTGGGCGTGAAGGTGGTGGACTCGAAGAAATTTCAAGGTATGTGTTGAAAAACTCCAGCGGGCAGCGAAGGCAAGGTTGCCGGCCGGCTGCCCGCCGGAAAGAAAGGAGTATAGGCCTAAATCTTATAGCTCTGATACCATGTTAAAATTGATGTATAAAGAGAAATAGAGAATTGTATTATTGATTGATGTATGTTATTGTGTAAATACAAGAGAATGAGCCCTCTCTCTTTATAGAGAGGAGAGGGAGACAATTGGAATCGAAAATATACATTAAAATAATACAAAGGCGTCTGTCAAAGCTGAAGGTGGTAGTGGGTGAGCTCTTTACAGCTTACAAATGCCAGCCTACAAATGCACTATAGTGTATAGTATATTATATTGTTAACAATAATAATGAAAGAGCAATATCTTCCAGAGATGATAAAGGTGCACAAAGATATTTCGAGCCCGAAAAAATCATACCACTACAAGCTGCCAAAGCCTATACTCAGGAAACGACTATCCATTAAGTCTCTAACAAATGGGCACTAAAGGCAGACACTTAACAGGCTCCCTCCTTCCCTCGATAACTAATAAGCTTAACAGACTTCAATTGCAAAAATATCCAAGGTATAGTTGAAGGTCTTACAAAATAATATTTGGGTGGATAAATAGGGATTAGGAGCATGAAGATATTCCATTTAACTGTTGTACTTGTACTAATTCTATGCATTTATGAGATTACAAGGAACAAATAGATTGAGTGAACAAGAAGAAATGAACACCTTGGCATATACATCCATACAGCTTACGATAAATAGGGACAAAATACAAACCATTCTTCTTGTAGGTACTTGATAGGCTTGACTTGTACTTGTCATGGAAATAGCATGGAACCTAAAAGATTGCATAATTCATGATATCATTGTCCAGTGATTAATGGCTCAGAAATGCTTCATTGCATTTACTTTCACATTACATGGACAAGTAGTAGCCTACCGAAAAATAACACTTCGATGATGGCACCCACAAATTAGAGCTGCCGGTGTCAAAGATCACAGTGAACTTTTGTGGGGGTGTACCAATTCCAATCTCACCAAAGTACTGAGCATCCATGTAATTCTTTAGCACTACAATGTCTCCTTCCTCAGTTTCTCCTAGATTACCACGAAGATTATACTTCTTAATTGACGCTTTCAGTGCCGCTCCTTCCTTGGACTCGAGCCGTGCAGCAAGCCGATTGTTTTGATCAAATTTCATCTTCTTTAGTCCAATTCTAACCAAGCCATCGTTAGATGCAGAAAAGACCAGAGGAAAAAGCAGGGATGATAGGAACAAAGATACCACAACAGCTCTCAATTTGGTTCCCATAATGACCTGTAAAGCCATATCTCAAATTTAGTTCATGAAAAGGCAATAAAACAATTGATCCAATCACATACACTTAAAATATGAAGCATAAAAAGAAAAACATTATAATATGAGAACTTCACAAATAACTGAAAACTGATGGCTATGCATAAGAAACTGGGACATAGAAAATCAATATAATCAAAATACAGTTAGATAAAATACAAAGAACCCGAACTTTCACACCCAATAAGCAATGAACTTTCTTCTACAGTATTTCAAAAAAACCAACTAATAATAACTTGCTTTTGGTAATAAAATCTTATGGGTAAATTGCATTGACTACCTGTGAGGTTTTGCTATATTACATTCACTACCTCCATGGTATGGGATATCACACTAACCTCCTTTATTTCAAAACTTTTGTAACAGATTACCCCCTCAATTAATCCCCACAATATGTTGTTTGTCATTTTGGTTCTCGATATTTTGAATTATGTCAATTAGTCCTCAATGTATAAAAATTGTTACAATTTGGTTCCTCAATTAACTTCATTAGTAAAATTCAATAAAGATAGGAATAAATATAAAACTCACTTAAAAATTCACTAGTCTTCAAAATATGTGATGTTTCAGTGATATGGAATGTCGTTTAAAAAAATACACTTTTAGTCCCAAAATATATGATCCGTGTCATTTTTGTCTCTAAAATTACACATTTATCCCTAGTTTCAACAGTGTCAACCGACAAAGTTAGGTTGGAACCAAATTTAAACACTTTTTGTACATTGAGAACTAAATTGAACAAATTTAGATATTGAGGACCAAAATGACACAAATCTCATACTTTGATTCGGGCACTCAAAAATGTAATTAATTTAAAAATGTTCGTAAGATTTTAGTTTGTATAGCATTACTCTTTACGAAAATTGCTCATACACTAATCCAGTAGAAATGTGAGTCTGTTACACAAGTTTTGAAATATGGGAGGGCAATGTAATTTTCCATACCACAAGTATAATATAGCCAAACCATAAGGATGGTTCATTTAATTTACTCATATCTTAGTAATGCTGTCACAGCCCTAAAAGAAATTCTGATTTTCCCAAGACAAATTTGAAGGAAGATAGTAAACAGATGGGGAAAAAGAAGAAAACATAAAAAAATTCCACTAATAAAGCATTTTTCTCACAAATAATAAAAATCCAACCTCAAATATGTGTTAAGTTCGTTCAATGAAAATTTTACTTATTTATTTATTTATTAAAGATTAAGTTCAATGCATGTTAAAAATGAGAACCTTTTTTACTTTTTTATAACAAAATACCCCAATATAAAGAGCAACACTAAACCTAGATTGACAGTTAATCAAATTCATCGCAATAAAAATAAATAAATAAACATATTGATTCCACATAATCACAAACTAAACACAGAGACTAATCATCCCCCCCAATTTTTTTATAATATAAATTGCCCTCGTGTTCTAAATTTTAGAACTTGTCTCTTGAAATTTATAATTTTATAACGGGTGACCATTTTATTAATAAATGGTCAAATCAATTAATAATTTTAAATGATGTTACAAATTTATTTGAATTATTAATTTAGGTAAATTTTATTATTGTAAAAAAAAGCAATTAGAAATTTCAAATTTTGACAAAGAAGTATTTATAATTTTTCAAATTATAGGAGTAATCTGTATTTTGAGCATATTTGTAATTTACTTAAAAAATAATAATAATAATAATAAAAAATCACAAATCCATTGAGATTTACTTATTTACCCTTGTAATTTTAAAAATTACAAATATCCTTGTTAAATTTTTTTATTTAATAAAATTAAAAAGATAAAATAAAATTCCTATCCACTCTTCTATGTATATAAACTCAACCAATAAAATGGGTGTATTTGTAAATATTGAAAACTAAACACGAACAACAAAAACAAGCATCTTTTGTAAAAATGCTTATAAATTCCATATACAGTAAAGTAAAGCATGAATCAACAAAAAAATGGTGCGATTAATGAAAGCATAAACAACATACTGGTTCAACAATCTTCAAAATGACTCACCATTGCTACGATGAATTGACAGAACAAAATGGAGGAAAGTTGAAGAGAGAGACTGAGAGTGTGGGACTGTGATAAGGATGGGAGGGAAGGGAAAGCGGCACCAAGAGAAGACATAGCGGTGGCGTTGTAACAGACTTGTTACGTGTCAGTCAAGCATAGCATGCAATGTTGTTGGTCACCTCAGCACGCGACACCTCCTCCAAATTTTGTTTTATTTTCAAAAATTACGTCTTTGGTCTTGTATTATCAAAAATTATTGGGTAAATTATGTGAATGATCCTTATAGTTCATATGATGTGTCAATTTAATTCTTATTATTTTAATTTATTTGATTTTGTCTCTTAATTTAACAAATTATGTCATATTGTGTCAATTTGATTACTATTGTTTTAATTTGCTCGATTTTAACAGGGACCAAATTGATATATAATACAAATTATAAGGACCAAATTGATATATCGTTTGAGTTTTTGTCCATAAAATCTAACGGCTGTTATTTATTAGATCAATATGACACAATCCATTAAACTAAAAGGCAAAATCGAAATGATCAAATTGAGATATCATGTAAATTATATGGATCATTTTCATAATTTATCCAAAATTTTTACAAGAATTTTTGTTAATTTTTAATAAAATTTTTTCTCATATTTTAGTAAATTTTTTTATTTTATTTTATTTTATTTTTTTAACTTTCAAATACATTAAGATTAGATACATATAAAAAAAATGATAAAATTTTACTAAAATAGAAAAAAAAAATTCACTAAAAAAAAAAAAAAAGAACGACAAAAATAAACACACATTTTTATTTGACGTTTTAGATGTATCTTGATTATGTGTATATAAAAAATATATATAAAAAAAAAACTTACATTGCCACAGATAGAACTTAGCCTAACAAGGGCCTTCACATCGGTGAAATACACGGACACTCCATTAGTACTGTCCCCCCACATGACGGCCTTACAGAACAACACAGTTGGCACACATTAGTCTGCCCATGTTTACATAAATGATAACGTAATACAGTACTAACCCGTCTCCGTGATGCTTATAAGCAGTTGTGATCTTCGCCTTCTCTACGACCGTCATCATTTTCCAAACACCCAAACGGTTGTTTATACCAAATCCGGACCACTTATTTCCATGTAAAACAACTGCGTCCATATCAATAATATCATCTCCAACAACACCTGTGTATTCTCCTCTAGCATTGCCCACAACCGAGCCCATTCTTGTCCCATGGCCAACTAATAATGGATACTCGAACTCAGGCATCTTCCACTTTTTTCTCACTTTACTCTTAGTGTTATACACATAAGACTTCTGCACACCAAACCTCGGAGTTGCCTGCAACACTTGTGGTACCACTTTTGTTTTAGAATCATACATGTTCAAATCGCAAGGCCTATGCACCTGTATCATCATATCATTCGTCCCCAAGTTCAAATCACTCTCCCCAAAACTATTTGCATACACTCCAACTGCACGTAACGGTGCTATATTGCTAAAACCTCCACCTCCAACCCCACTACTACCTGCACCAAGCCCCCAAACTTTACAATCAACTTCCACCGTACGAAATGCTTGTGTCACATCATGAACATTACGATATGCCAATTGGTCTTCAAGAATCGCAATTTGTTTACGCAATTCCAAGTTCTCCTTCTTCAACTTCTCAACCTCTTCGTCCTTCATTTTTAGAACACACCTAAACCCACCCACTATGTGAACAACTTGTATCTTATTCTCTCTCTTCAACCTAGATGCTTCAACTTCAAGCATTGCAATCTTGCTGTTTTTCATTTTGTTATCATTTTCCAGTGTTGATATTGAATGGCGTTCTTGTTCGGTAATGGCACCATCCACACCGTCGCACTTTCTCCCTTCATAGGAGCCATACAAAAAAAAAAGAAAAAAAAAATCTAACCAATCAGAAAGAGAGGGGGTCAAGGAGGTGTGGGGGAAAAGGGGGTTGGATCTTTTCCCTTAATCTATAATAATGTGACATTGTATTCATTAACTTTTGATTTGTCACATATTCAATGATATAGACCCAACTCTTTTGTCATAATAAATTTATGGGTCTAAAAATGTGAGTCTGCGTTTTTTGGTAGGACTATCTATTAAAACTTTCAATAATTAATAACAAGTTGTAAACCTTAGAAAAACGGGGTGTAGCTCTCTACAAATTTCATCTTTTCTATATTCTTCAAAACTTTATTTTGTGGGTCTAGTGAGCCCCTTGACATTGAACAGAACCGTTCACCTCGTAGGCCTCAAAGAAAAGAACATATATATATAAAATATATTGTTCAGATATTGATAGACAAACTTACACGTCATATTTACCATTTATTTCATAAAATAAAATAAGATTAGTTAGTAAGTCTATTAATATCGGATCAAACTAATTTTTTAAATCTGTTTTATTCACGTTAAGGCCTATGAGATAAATGATTCCGATCACCTGGTAAGTCTCATACGACCCACAAAATAAAATCTTGAAAAATATGAAGATGAGATTAAGTCTTAAAGGGAGCTGCTCCAAGAAAAACCTATGAGGCTGGCTTCAGGGAGGGTCATGGCTAAAGATGTGCCCTACAAAATTTTTAGCCCAAATCAACCTATTTGGGCAATTAGAAGCCCATGACAAGCCCACACTTAATTTCTGTGAAGTTGGGCTGTTACTATAGTTTTCCGGACATGACCTGGATTTGGGACTCCACTTAACATCCCATGCAAAATTAAATGGAGGCATTCCATTTGAACCCAAAAAATATCTTAGTATATCCAATTTAAATTTATAAATTTTAATTCCTATTATATTTTAATGTGAATTTACTAATAAGGACAATCCATATTAAACCCTAAAATAATTTTTTTTTTTCTTCTCATGATACACTTTAATCAATTATTCCTATTCAAATCTCTATATCTTCTTCTCCAAGAGATCAGTTAGTTTGTCTTCTTCTTCTTTTTTCTCACTCTAAAACTCCAATCCAACTTACCAAAACTCACCATTATCATTAACATCATTGTTTTTTATTATTTTGAAACCCTAAACTATTATCA